GTTAGAACTGTGATGTGAGAACTGTGATGTTAGAACTGTGATGTTAGAACTGTGATGTTAGAACTGTGATGTTAGAACTGTGATGTTAGAACTGTGATGTTAGAACTGTGATGTTAGAACTGTGATGTTAGAACTGTGATGCGAGAACTTTGATGAGAGAACTGTGGTGTGAGAAACCGTGAATGTGAGAACCGTGATGTTAGAACTGTGATGTTAGAACTGTGATGTTAGAACTGTGATGTTAGAACCGTGATGTTAGAACCGTGAATTACTTGATTGCCGTCTATTATTATTATTTTATTTTGTACGTGTATGTTTGCTCGCTCGACCGCACCACCCCTTTCCCGGGCTGCTAGTGAAGGAAAAAAAGACCCTGATATTACCCTGATAATTTCAACCTTGAGGTCAGACCAACATGAAGAATCCTAGATACCCTCTTCAACCTCCGAGGAGGTTATAACTGGGGCACTTGTAGCAGATACAGCAGCCTGGCACAAAGGCGCCGCCACAAAGAAACCCTGGGCGTCTTAAAGTCCCCTTATATTTTTCTAGAGGGCAGGAAAATGAAAATATATTGTCGTTAATTTGTATTAAAATGCTAGCGGATGTGTTTCCAAAATCGCAGAAATTATATAATCTGGGGGAGAGGGAAAAAGGGGGTGGGTGAGAGTGGAGTGGGAGGGGGGGGCGCAAGTATTAAAGGCAAATTGCATTTAAAACACATTTGAGACGATTGCGTTTGCGAAAAATAGAAACGTTTGAGGCCCTTGCAGATTGTGAGGCTCTTGAAGATTATGAGGCCCTAAACTGTCGCTTAATTAGTTTATACTGAAACTCGACACTTGTACTGTATTGAAGACAGAGAAAGATGGCGGGTTTTGTGTGTTAATACTTCAATGGATACACCTCTACGTTCCTAACGGGTCTATAGTTAGGTTAGGCGATGCTGTATCTTAGAAAGAAGTTGTGAAATTTCTGCTCACAAATAAGTGACACTGACTTTCTGTACATATATAAGTGACACTGACTTTCTGCACAAATAAGTGACACTGACTTTCTGCACAAATAAGTGACACTGACTTTCTGTTCATATATAAGTGACACTGACTTTCTGCACAAATAAGTGACACTGACTTTCTGCACAAATAAGTGACTCTGACTTTCTGCACAAATAGGTGACACTGACTTTCTGCACAAATAAGTGACACTGACTTTCTTTACATATATAAGTGACACTGACTTTCTGCACAAATAAGTGACACTGACTTTCTGCACAAATAAGTGACACTGACTTTCTGCACAAATAAGTGACACTGACTTTCTGCACAAATAAGTGACACTGACTTTCTGTATATATATAAGTGACACTGACTTTCTGCACAAATAAGTGACACTGACTTTCTGCACAAATAAGTGACACTGACTTTCTGCAAAAATAAGTGACACTGACTTTCTGTACATATATAAGTGACACTGACTTTCTGCACAAATAAGTGACACTGACTTTCTGCACAAATAAGTGACACTGACTTTCTGTACATATATAAGTGACACTGATTTTCTGCACAAATAAGTGACACTGACTTTCTGCACAAATAAGTGACACTGACTTTCTGTACATATATAAGTGACACTGACTTTCTGCACAAATAAGTGACACTGACTTTCTGTTCATATATAAGTGACACTGACTTTCTGCACAAATAAGTGACACTGACTTTCTGCACAAATAAGTGACACTGACTTTCTGCACAAATAAGTGACACTGACTTTCTGCACAAATAAGTGACACTGACTTTCTGCACATACATAAGTCACACTAACTTTCTGTACATATATAAGTGACACTGATTTTCTGCACAAATAAGTGACACTGACTTTCTGCACAAATAAGTGACACTGACTTTCTGCACATACATAAGTCACACTGACTTTCTGTACATATGTAAGTGACACTGGCTTTCTGCACAAATAAGTGACACTGACTTTCTGCACAAATAAGTGACACTGACTTTCTGCACAAATAAATGACACTGACTTTCTGCACAAATAAGTGTCACTGACTTTCTGCACAAATAAGTGTCACTGACTTTCTGCACAAATAAGTGACACTGACTTTCTGCACAAATAAGTGATACTGACTTTCTGCACAAATAAGTGTCACTGACTTTCTGCACAAATAAGTGTCACTGACTTTCTGCACAAATAAGGGACACTGAATTTCTGCACAAATAAGTGTCACTGACTTTCTGCACAAATAAGTGTCACTGACTTTCTGCACAAATAAGTGACACTGACTTTCTGCACAAATAAGTGACACTGACTTTCTGCACAAATAAGTGTCACTGACTTTCTGCACAAATAAGTGACACTGACTTTCTGCACAAATAAGTGTCACTGACTTTCTGCACAAATAAGTGACACTGACTATCTGCAAGTGCACCAGGGATGGCGTGACCCCAGCCATCCTAGATTGCACGCACCCGCCAGAAGAAACATGCATCATTTCCGCCAAAAACGTGAGCCATCCAACAGAGAACGCAACCTACCTACCGTTCCTGCCATGGCAGCACGCCAAATGTCAGACCGCCCTATCTGAGGCAGAAATAACACCCTAGAACCTCAGGCCATTGTTCCCCGGGGTAACCTCAGATACCAGCGCAGGGTCGGGTCGACTCGGCCAGCTTTTAATCTTCCACTGCTCGACTGGCCCGGGTCTGTTTTGGGTTGAAAGAGAAAATGAAGGCGAGTAAACATTCATCTGGGAGCGAAATAACAGGGTGGAGTGTTACCGTCTGCGAATGAGGTAGTTCCCTGGTTCTTTTCGTTTGTGATCATTTTGTATGGGAGAGAATTGTGGGATTGGATAAATGTCAGCTGTGTTTCCCTCATCACCATCATCGTCATCAACCTGTCACATCCAAATAATGACAGTGTCACTGTACCAGAAACAACGCGTTGTGCTGATGATACGTCTTTGATCACCGAAAATGAAATATAGTGATTTTGTATATTCTTGTTCATAATTGTGGCATTGTAGATTTGTGCATGTGCTCTTTAGTCGCAACGTGCATTTGGCGTTTGTATTTGTGATTTTGTCAAGCTGACTGACTCTACTTTTTGTTTGGTTTGATTTCTTTTCATGGTACACATAATGAGGAGGGTATAGCGTATTAAAAAAAAAATAAAACAATCCTAAAAGAAAACAACCACGCCTTGGACTTATGATGCTTAACTAATTTTTATAGACCAGTCGGCACTCAATGGGTGACGTTGTCAACTTATGCCGGCCATCTTTACTTCCCAAGATATTTTATACAGGGTCAACCGGTGTGGTCAAGGTCTTCTAAAAAAAAAAAAAATCCGCCTCGTGCAGATGCCAAAATATTTTGGTAGTTTCGGTACTAATGGGATCATCATCATCATCATCATCATCATCGTCATCATCATCATCATCATCACTCAGCACGTCCTTCTCATAAGGTCCCTGTCTTCACGGCATACCTGTCAGTCTCTCTTTCTGTAGCCAATTCTCCAGCCCTGTGTGCTTTCATAGCCAATGTATATACAGTGTCTTGTAGCCACATTCGCGGAGGTCTGTCTGTGTATCGTCTTCCTGAAACTTCTTCACCTTCAGTCACCATTTATCATGGTGAAAATACCCCAGCTTTCGAGGCAGGATGCTGTTTGTGAGCCAGTTCTCCTCAATGCTCTGATCATTTAGGGTGTTGATGGGTGTTTTATTAATATCCTACCCCAAACAGGGGAAATCCACAGGTCACGGAACAGTCTAATATTTCAAGGGGTGCATGCAGTCGTGGGACCTTGGCTGCATGCAGTCAGGGGACCTAGGATGCACTCTCTCGGGGGAAGTAGGTGGGTTGGGGTTAGGCCAATTCTAGATGTTCTGGGGTCCTTAAAAGCATCAGAAAGCTGGGAAACCCAGTCTTACCACCCTCTAAAATGTTGAACTGTGCTGTGACGTCATCTGGGTAGGATATTAATAAAGCACCTGTTGATGTTTCACTTCATCTTGGTCCAGTGTTCTCAGTTGATGTTTCCCTTCAGTGATTGAGTGGGAGTCCATGACTGGCAACCATGAGTTGCCACAGGGAAGATGCATGATCTCAGAATTGTTACTTTAACTCGCTTGCAGGTGCCCTGCTTAGGGTTCTTCAATCTGGCCACTGCATTTTTAAAGCAAGTCTTCTTCTGACTTCTTTTGTGCTGTCGCCATTTACTGTTTACTACTGAGCCTAAATACTCAAAGTCTTTGACATTTTCTAATTCTATAAATGGGCAAAATTAATACTGTTGACAATTTTTTTCCCCGTTTCTTTCCAGGTAATGTTAGGATAAATTGCAACGTCTGTGAAATGTTAACTGTACTGAGAACTTCTTTGGCAACATCGACCAGGCCTGTATCTATCACAGCAGCTTCCCTATTCCTTCTGCTGATGGTGTTGGTTAACATTGCCCACAGTGAAAGTCCTGACCAGACCAGGGACAGAAAGATATCTCTAACAGGCAAAAAAGTCCGGGTCCTTCCCAAAGAGGACCAAGTGACTTCATACAGGTTGCTGCCTTCAAAGGCTTCTCAGGACTTTACTGCGTACCAGAAACCTGTTTCCCACAAGGGTCCCGCACAACGAAATCCTGCACGGAATTCCCACAAGACAGGACCTGCGTGGCAACGGCCGGGACAACGCAGCGAGAAGCCGAATATTGTAGTTATCCTCACGGATGATCA